TTGAAAGCTTCTGCAGTTGGTTCTGCATTGCATAATGTACTTTCTGTGCAACCTTGAAATCTTCTAAACTTCTAGACCTGCGCTATCTTCTTTCAGATCGGCATCGTATTGCCCGAAAGCACTCATACTCAGCGTCAACACCAGCATACCCTGCACGAGTAGCTGTATTCGAGGTGTTCATCTCAGTCTTCTTGGTTAGAGGGCTTAGCGGTAGAAGACCGCAAAGTAACGTGAATACAATGATCAAGATGTTCGCTGTGTTTGAGAGAACGAGCTGATATACGCGAAAAGAACTCCAGCCGAATGTCTCCCTTGACAACTTCAGTTTTTGTGGTACCGGCTGTAGGTCATATTACTCGGCTAGAACAGTGACTGCCATTATTTTTTTTCGTTTGCGAGAGAAACTCATAGATATGCGCCTGAAGCATACTTCCATTGTTTTATAAATAGGGGAAGTACTTGAAACATGACACCAAACACAACCAAACACAGGTTAGGTGTTCTTGTGGAAGTGCGGATATCAGTTGCTTGTGATGGTTTGGTTCATTCATAACGTTGACACGTTCGTTCATTGGTATACGCTACGCTCTGCGTGGAAAAACATTCTTCCGAAATGTTCGGGGGAGAAAAAAGAGGACAAACTAGACAAAGTACGCAAGATTGCTTATGTACATGTGTCTCGCAAAAAAAAACTGCAGCAAGGTTATTTTTCTTTTAAAAACTTGTATAAAGAGATTCTAATCGCCCTAGCCACCTTACCTAATTTTTCCCAAGACTTCCGTATCTAAAAGTTGACCATCTTGGTCGGCACCACGTTGAAGATCCGGCAAGAAGCCACCTTTACAGCGGCAACGGCAGCAATTCTCAACGAAGCTGTGAGCTTCGACCTTAGACCTTTACAGACAACTGCCTCGTCCGGCCGCGGCTTTGCGCGAAGCCCCGTCTTCTGAATAAAACATTTTCTGTGAAATATACATGAAATGGCACTTCCTGCGGTATATTATTGTGGATACGGTGGCTTCCTTGTTGGCAGTATTGGGTATAAACATGCAGATGGAAAACTTCATTTTTTTTATTACAGCCTTATGTTAAAATACCTCGTTCGGTGCTCTTGTTCTTTTCTTTTAGCTGTTGCTAGAGGCAGAATATTTCAGTTATGGCAAAAAAGGTAATTTTTGAAAAAAAATATTTTGAAATTTTCTTTTACTACCAGTGGCTGTTCAATTCTATTTACAAAAAGAGTTACGTATAGATATTTTGAGCCATTTAAAAGTTATGCTAATTTGTCCAACCATTCTTAGACGCATCCGACACCGCGCATCAAAGCCACCATTTCGCAGAAACCTGCCATGTGATCATAAATATCTCATGGTGTACATATTACGCATCGCTAACTTGTCTAGGTATGTCCTAATGCTTGGAGGACCTAAAGGACTTCAAGTTAGGGAATCAATATACCAAACGTGCACCCTCTGTGCAGCAGGCAGATGTGAGTCAGCTCGAAGACGCAAAACAAGCTAGAAAAAAAAACATTCTTTAGCTCACTCAAAAGCAGAACATACAGCTTCAAACGAATTCCAAGCTATGACCCTGGAGAATTTCTGATATAATGAATATTTTTTCTTGCATGGTCATTCAGTTCAAATCTTTAAAATCATTTGTCTCGAAACACAATTTTCGGGAGTCTGCAGTTGAGCGAACAGTGATAACTTTTCTTCTAATAAATTTTTTGAGTATTCATTGCGTGCTGTATTTCGCTTGGTTGGTCTGTGCATTCTAATAAAAAGTATCTCTCTCTTTGTCACTGAGCAAGAGATTACTTTTTGTCCTATGGCCAATTGTGTGCAAAGAGAGCCTGCCAAGTATCAATCTTTCAGTATTTTTATGCTAACGCACCTCATCTTGAATATGTAGTAATCTTTGAACTTAGATGCACAGAATATTGTCCCCTCTACGCACCTGCCAAGTTTCATTTGAATCCCACTTACCATTTCCTTGTTATGACTGCTTGCGCAACATGCATCTTTTCCCCCATATCATTTTTTTTCAAAACCTTATTTTCATTTTATTATTTCATCATTTTAACTCTGAATATTACCGAAACCCTACAAGCCGGAGCCATTACAACTTTTTGGCTACAACAGCAAAAATTTTCTCGAATTTGGGGATCTACATTAACAATCTGTTCCTAGCACCGACGCGACCAAATGGAATTGAAGTAAACAACTGCATGCACTCACAATAATACCATAGCAGTTGAGGGCTCCATAAATAAAGTGTATAAAAAAACTGCGAGTTAATTTTGCTTTCTTATTTTCAAATTTGTTCATGTGTTCTATTTAGAAGCACTACTTCATTGCATAGTGCCCATATACAAACGTTTGTGTCACTAAACGACTGCAGGCAGAGATCAGCGACTGCCTTTTTTTTTGGCTATAATGAAATAGCTGGGTGTACATTGACAATTAAAGAAAAGTTGAGAAAGGGGAGTCAGTTGCAATGGGGTGTACAGAATAATCAATACGATACAATTAAATTGCATTATTTGGCGTGCTTTCAAAGTAAACGCAAACTCAATCAGGTTTTTTCCTGCTGTTTATTGAAGAATGTGTTTTACTTAATTCTTATGCGTTCAGCTTCATAACCGAGTTTATTTGACATTACTTTTTCTATACACAATCAAGTGGTACCGGCTTTTTTTCGCGTTGTGCTAATGCCTGGCGCGATTACATGCTTGATAAGCCACATACTAACAGCAAAGCTGTTTATAAATTTTTTCTGTTCACCCGTACCATAACATATCGTTATGAGAAATTCAATTTGATTAATTGATATGTGCGGTTTTAACGTTACAAAACAACCATAAGAGCTACCGTATTAGAGGGCTTCAGAAATGTCGATCACATGGATGGAGTATTTGAACGTACACCAAAATCTGAGCACACCGGACTGCAGCATTTTCGCCTCCATCGAAAATGCAGCCGCCGCAGCGGGAGATTTAATGCTGCGACCTGCAGGCCAGCAGCCAAGTACATTAGCTAGAAGACCACCGTGGCGGGACATCGTAAATTGGCATGATCCCCGGAAATTGGGCTAACCCCAGTAGTCGCCACTGGCCGAATAAAATAAACAAGGTGACCGACATAAAATATTTGATTTTTCAAAAAACTTCTTGAAGGCGACAAGTGCTCTTTCCTAAGACCTGCAGTTGGCCTTGGACCTTGTATCTTCGTTCCCTGTGAAAGGCCTGCTATCTGAAAGTTTTTGTTGAACTTACGGCATATCTTGCCTACTAATAGAAAATGAGTACCGGTGCCACCATAATGACACCAGCCTCTTCCATTTTGTCCTATTAAAAAGTAAAAAAGAAAGAAAGGTGACACACAGCTCAACAAATGGGTATGTGCAACATAAAGTTATGTGGCCTATCGGAAAACTATCATCGTCATTAACAAGTATGTGCCCCAATTCACAAAACAAAGGGCGGCGAAGCGACGCCCGTGAAACGAAGAGGCCGAGCACGCACACAATGAGAATACTGGGGAAAGTTAAAGGGCAACACCGACTGCGAGAAGACCACGAAGCGATGGAAGGCATGCGCCAACGGCGACGGGCCCGTGTGGTGTCTGTGTCTGTCTGCGGTTTAACTCAAACCTGTAGGCGCTGGAAATCAACGTATAAAAACAGCCTATAGCATTCACTGTAGAAAGCCTAGCAACGATGTAGAATCAATTCAGAATCAATGGTGTCTCCTAGAAAAGGCCTAATAACAGTCTAGACGTCACCATATTAGTCTCTAGAATCATCCAGTTTTGGTGTTTTAAGGCTTCCTAGGCTTACTTTAAGCTTCGCCAATTTTGGGGGCAATGTTACTTATTGCATACTTCGACACAATTTTGCGCTTGCTATAGATTTCAATTGCATTGTTTCTCTCCGTGAGGTGAATCGGCGGTTTAGAACCCATGTATGCCTCATGTCTTTAGCCATACAAAAAGGCCGCTTTAGCAAATTTCGTATGCGAAGTCCTAAAAACAAAGCTTAAGGATATTGATTTTATTTCGTCGTTCCAAGCGGGCGACCCTTGGAACGACGAAAATGAAGCGGTCTCGACAGATCTCTGTATAATAAATACCAAGGCTGTACGCACTCTAACCGCAATGCAATATGAGGTGGTATAGCTCGAAATTTCGAAGCAATTGGGCCTTCTGGGCCTCTCTAACGCGCATTTATACCTAAAGAATTGTTGTCACAGTAGACAAAAAGGAACTCCCGTCCGTCGGCTTCGCTGCGCAACATAAACGTCAAGTTGCCCCGCGGTGACACAGTGGGCACACTACATGAGTAATCTTTGAGACTTTGAGTTTTCACATGAGAACGTTTTTACTTTTTTTAGAGTGAATTGTTATTGGCATTTATGCAGAGTTCTTATATTTTTGTATTATCCTAATGAAAACACACTGTTCTCTTTTACTTACTTTCAGTTTAACTATTGAATCTCACTGGCAGACAACCACGCTGAGCATTGCGGAAAAAAATTGGCCAGAATAGGTGAACGCTACTACTACTTGGATTTTTCTAGTGAAATTTTTTACTTGTCTCTTACTTGTTGGAAAAAAAATTTCACAGCGTTGTGTAAAAGATACTGGACCAATTAATTCACAAATAACGCCTTACCACAAGGTGGTGTACTACAAGCTCCATAAGAGCCTGCATGCTCCTTGTGCACTGAAATGCATGTGCGGATTCATCACAAGACCAGTAATTGAATACAGGACACTAAAATATAATAAAAAGAGACAGAGACATGAGACGAAGTCGCTTGTGCTTTTTTTATTTCAAATCTATTCCGCATATTGTCAATATGTACAAATATATCTCGGACCTTCTCCATTCACTGGCAGTTTTACACAGCATTTCGCGAGTCATGCGCGCTGCAGGTAGGTGTTTTAATGAACGAAAACTCTAAATAGTAATAAAAAAACTATGATACTTTACCCTTGCTGCTGGAGCTTTGGCAAGAAAGTGAGTGTACAAATTTGAACCTTTAATCGTAGTACATGATTTTTTTTATACCTATGAAACAAAATAGAGGATTTTACGCTGTGTACGTGACGGAATTAGTTTTCAAACAGCTTAGATATGCCTGAGCCACACTTTAACCCAGGGTGAATGACGTTTTTTGATTCAACTTCTTGCCACGCGTGCGTAATCATTCGTCATTCATTCCTATAGAATTTTTCTTACTGTACAAAACAAGTCATCTTCGGCAGGCATACGTGCTGTGCCATCCTCCAATTGAGGATCCGTGGTCTATATGTACATGTGCTTGTTCACTCACTTCAAAGTAGACACAATGTTGGTACGCTCGATCGCTACCGAAAAAGTACAGGCCACTGCACTTGCAGACACTTCTCTGTTAATGTCTTCGACTTTATTACACAAAACTTGAATATGTAGAGAAACCTATTGTTATTTGCATGTGACTCAAATTCTAGAAATGAAGGAGTCGACAAACTCCTCCGCAATTTTATTTCTTACCCTTTTCATCGTCCTGTTAGAGAGCGTAGTTGTTCGCCTCCGACCCATGCCTTTCAACATGTGAGCCTGGAGCGACATTATATTGGTCATCTCGCGTCCGTATGCAAACACCATATGTTCGACAACAAAAACATAGAAAGAAACTTAGGTGGTGCAACTTAGAAGGTGTGCTGTTAATCTGACCCCATACAAATACAAAGACCCTTGATTCTTTCTTTTTGCCACCCACTGTTACGTTTTGAAAATCAAGCATGCAAAGAGTTTTACGCCCCAAGGTCTATTACCACACTTGCTTTCCAAAGTAGCAATGTGCTGTTTTCGCGCACGCATCCGGAAGGTATACAGGCGAAGTGACGTACTCAGTGGCCTGTACTCTGGCGACAAAAAAGTGAATAATTTGTACAAGTATGCAGCTATTAAACGGCAATTTGTCGCTGTAAAAAGATGCGCATTTCCTCAGCGGGTGGGAAGCATTTTTTTTGTTTGATTATCTCGCTGCTGTCAAGGCAATGGAGAAGTCACGTTGATATGAAAAAAACATTGAGGCCCCGTCGGTGGTCTTCCTGTTCCTTCCACTGCGTTTCTATTGGACAGATGCGTACAAGCTGTGCCGTTGGAGCGACGAACGATAATTCATCTCTGCTGTGGGAAAAAAGAAACAAACAGCCGAAGGAACGTAGCAATCAGTAGAAAGAATGAATTATGCTCATATAGTCTTCATGCTCGCGTAGTAGGCAGCAATGTTTCGCTTGTTAACATGCCACACGCATAAAAATTGTAGCAAAAATTATTAACACTAATGCAACTACTAAAAGCATGTCATTTCTAAAATCACCTTCTTATGCTGCCAGGTAGAAGCACACAGCCAATGCACGAATGGTACAGATAATAATACTCGAGAAATTATGGTATAGTTATAAACACTGATGTATTGCTAATTTTCTTGCTGTGACATGCCAATAACGTTCCTAAAGAGATTAAAAAAGAATGTTGCTTCTTTTTTTTACCAATACGCAAAAGTCGCCAAAATAAAAAAAATAGTATCACGTAATAGTTTTGCGTCATGTACGCACCCTGCTCAAGTCGCTCCAGGTCCCTGTCGCACTCTGTGTCCGATATTTCAATAAACTCCGGCAAATTTCCTCCAGTACAAGGCGTGTGAAATGCGCTCAAGTGCAAGTCCCGTTCACTTAAACACCACCTGATGAAAGAATAAGAAGAAATGAAGAAATAATGTAACCGTGAAAAGAAGTGGCGTTTTTAAAGAATATGATCTGTAGGCAGATTATTGTAGGCAGATTGTGTTGTGATTTCGTGTAGAAAAACAAGCAATTTCGGTCACGAGTTTAAGAACTGGTGATTCACTTCAGCCTTAGTGTCTCTGGACGCATAGGTCGAGAGTGTGCATAGTGCAGATGAACTAGTCTGGTGCGAAAAGCAATCAATAGGAATAGAAAATAAAGAAAAACAACCATAACTCGATAAGCTTATCATTTTGCTTCAGAAAATATGACACATAAAATACTGTTCTCAGCTGAATGGTGTACGGTGCTTATGCGCATTTCTTTTTCAAACGTATGCCCGTTTCCGGTGATTAACCGCGTAAGTTTGGTTGGGAGAGATGTAAATGCTGTTAGATGACGCCGTAGTGTACGTCTCCCAACAAGCAACTACCACATTCCTGAAATGTGCCTGGTCGGTTACATCTTACTAATTGCGCTTATGAATGAATTTGATGCTAATACAAGCAGATATGCGTGAAACGACACGACGTAAATATACTTAACTTCTACGTCATATCAAATGCAGTTCACGCAGAACTAAAAAAACCAAATATATTAGACAAATCACACAAAATTTTCTTGAAGTCAAGGTTCCAATTGATTCGTACCGTAGCCAGTCTGAAACTCCTTATATGGGAGATAAGCAATGGCCATATACGACCACCGTGAGTCATTTCGATGGCCCATTAGCCAGTTGACGATCAGTAGCATGCATCTATATATTGTTTGGTGCCATTCAATAAATGCAAATATTTCAATAAAAAATCATCAAAAACAAAAGTTCTGTGTAGAAAGCGCATTTATCAAATTTTAAACTGAAAACTTATTTCAATTGCAAAATTATTACCAAAGAACTTTTGTGCATGTACCGTAATGCTCAAGTTTGCTTTACAACCAATGCAGCTTCATCAAAACATTCGTAAAGATAATACAAATTCTTTTTCAATCTTTTCGTAACATTCTTTTGTGCCTCTACGTTACCACTCGTAGAGATTATAGCATTAACGATATACATTCAACGCACGGTACCGCGAACATCAACTCCATGTTGGAGACAACAGTCAATCCGGTACTGCATGCGTGACGGCTTAACGGAAGGAAAAAGCGGGAAATGCGTGCCAGGGGAGATTGATGGAGTCAAAGAGGAGGAAAAAGAGATCAAGAGGGTTGGCAGACCTACCTAGCGGGGTCTACAGGAGGGCGAGTATTTACCTGTCCGGCCGGTCGGACTCGCCGGGCTCGGACCAGCGATAAGCGGTGCCCGACGAGTGATTGGGAGGTTCTTGACAGCCGCTATAACCATACGCCGACGGGCGTCCTTTACCAGCGAGCCGCTGATAGTATTGCTCCTTTTTGCACATTTCTGAAAAAATAAAGAAAGGCTGTAACACGATGACGAGAACTATAGCAAAGGCACACGCTACGACGGGTTAAAATTGACATATGAAGTGTTATCTCTCTCGCGAAGCCATGATCTAGCCAAAATATCAATGAAGTTGTGTATTTCCTATTTGTACCAGTGAATAGCACCCTTCTAGCGCCGCAAACCACGTTTAACGTGGAAGTGTTCGATGCCGGAGTCAACCAAGACGTTGATAACGTATTTACGTCTGAGAAATAGGTCAGGAAAAATTACACGCGTTCAGACGGTAAGAAAAAAATGAAAAAAAAATGTTTTGTACACAGGAGATGAGCCACAATCTGTCGGTACGCGATTATAGCTGACGGAAGTCAAACCCACTGTCACGACTGAAGGAGACTTCACAAACGCGTATTTTATCTGTCACACTTATCTTTCGCAAGGTTTTAGGCTCGCGTGGTGATCTCGCCACCCAGTGGTCGAGTGAAGTAATTCATGGTCTTTGTGATAAACTCAGGAAACAAGCATTAGCACCATTTCTACAGCCCCCCCCCCCCCCCCCCCCAATTCGAGGATTTTTCCAAAGAAGTGTAATCGTGGTCTCCGTGATCGGCACCGCTTGCAGCCTGCGTGTGGCGGTGGTGGAGATCACAATGTAATTATGTCAACGCCTTAACACCCAGTGAGGTGGTAGCCGAAGCGTTGCTAATAACACCCCTTCCTATTAAAACATAGCCCATCGCCTCTTGCCTAGTTGTCATTTCGTGTTCTCCGCTTGAACTGTGAAGTACCACGTCCGTAATAGAGAGGAGACGGGATTCTCGATGTGTTTCTCTTCATGTTTCTAGCATGGCTGTGGTTGGGCCCCTCTGTTAGCTCTTCACCGGCACTATTCTGGCTGTAAAACCACTGTATCTTAATGCACCTTCCCATGAAAACAAAACGGCCTCAGCAACGCTAGCAATGGCGCGTAGCCGGAGCCTATTTCATGTCTAATACCTCATGACAACAGCGAGTAACGACTGCGAGCTTTCTGTACCATTAGCGGGATGGAAGCTTTCACTGCAATACTGTAGAATAGTGTGTGGCCAGTGAAATTTCGAAATAGTGACTGCAATTGATGACGAAGAAGTTGGGCTATTCGCTTTTCGCGTCAGCTTGTGACCACTTTAGGAGGAGTGAAATGAAGATTCTGCAACGCCTACTGCTTCCATTGCACTAGCACTGACAAATAAAGCAGTCTCAATAAGCTCCGCAGAAAGACAACGCGTCCACGAGCAATTAGTGTGCAAGTGGGTTTTTGGCGCAGTTAGCGGCACGTCAACGCGAAGTAGAACGTCTTCGCACTTTTACGGCTCCCACGATGAACTCTGCCTTACGCATTCCTGAATATTGTTCTTGGGTACTAAATTCATGACAGTGTGCAGATTACCCTATTACCAGAGAGTGCAAACATCCCCTTTCGTGCCTCGAAAAAACGACAGATCAATAGGGTGCAACCACTCATTATGTACAGGTTGAAGTCATCTTTGCAAGGAATTCACAATAAGCTGTTTCGAAGGTATGTTAAGCGTTACAACTGCCAAAAATGTTTAAACATGCTCGTGTACGTTAGTAGTTGGGACAAAAAAGACACAGCTTTCCCGCAAAAGCGAAGCAATGAAGGCAATAGCGACAAATTGGAAGATCACGCGCATGATGGGAAGCAGATCGAAACGTACCCCACGTTTCTCACGCACAAATGACGCACAAAACGTACTCACAGGCACAGATGAATGCGAATAAGCGTCTCAGTTGTTACTTCGCTGTGTCTGAAAAGCACCCCCTGTTCGCAAGCGGAGGCTGTACTACGATTGCAGTGACCTTTGTGTGCCCCGTAACTACAACAGAATCGTTCCAGTGCAAGCCCACCGCCAGTCAAGACGTATGATACTCCCCACCGGGAGATGAGGGAGCGTGAAAGATCGTCCACTCCCTCCTCTCTGCGGGCCAATGTACGCGTGAGAGATGAGAGCAGCCATGCGCTCATTGCGCCATCTTGCTGATAATGCTGAAAACTTGATAGTTCTCCCAGAGATTCGCGCCCGCAGCAGTAAGTGGTAGATATTAAACAGCTTGCCGTTTGAACGTTGAAGGAGGTACCCCTCGGTGGCTCAGTGGTTAACGCCTCGCATTCACGACGCGGAGGTCCCACATTTGATTCCACGCGCTGTGGTCTTTTTCTAGATTTTTTTCTTTATTGCATTTTCATATACATATACATATACGTATACATATACGGTGAGTGACGGCGACGCCGACGCCGGCAGCAAAATTCAGCCAAGAGTGTCCATATAATTGATATCGCAATAAAATGTGCCATCAGGCGTCAACCTGGGTGCGTCTATATCAAGTGGTGCAGTGATGTTATAACTGTCAAACACCAATAGATGTAGCGCAAGCTCTCACATAGCAATGTCGAACAAACACTCATGTACTTCTGCGAATGCACGTTTTTTCATGTTTTTTTTCATCTAGAGATTTCTTCTTGTACTCATAAGTTCGAAAAAGCAGAAGAACATATATATGTATACTCTACGCGTCAATGGTAATCATCTATTATAGCAATTACAATAAATGCTATACATTCGTATTCAGGTATTTTTATTATATTTGAGTTCACGTAAACGTCAATTTCAAGGCCAATCACTTAGGAAGAATTGTACTCACCTATGTGGTTTTGGAGCTTGTCGTTACATGAAGAGTGCTTATGCTCACTTTTAAATGCATGTAATTTCTGAAGAAAAGAAAAACAAAGACCAAATGAATTGCTAATTAAAGCCTTGCTAGACTAGCATTACTTTTTGTCATGTTGCGCTACGTTCGACCAGCCTCTAATAGCAATAAATACTTTACCCTTTAGCACGCATCCATAAACCACGCATTCCTTGTTAAAACCAACAAATTATCATTAAAAGGGCTCAATTGATTCTCTCAGAACAAAGGTGGCTTTTGAACTGCCACTTGGTGTAACGTAGTAGCCTCATACTGGTGTTACCAGACAATGGGCCAGTGTTTTGTAAGGCGCGACAGCACTTAAATTGGCAGCTTATCTAATAATCGAGGATACTTAATGCAATTCATACGTCAATCCAGTTTTCCTGATTCGATCTAAAAAGGCCGGATGAAAAATGTCGTTTTTCAACCAGTGGTTAAAGTCAAAGCGTCTCATTGTGTCGCTACCACATTCGGTTCTGTAATTTCGGTTTCAGCAAAGACTATATTACGTGAATATATTTTCTTTATTAAAAATAAATAAAATGACCTGAGTTTGGGCGTGCTGGTATACCATTTCAGCATTTATTGCAGGCACAACACAAGAGCAGAGTGAATGAAGAACCAGGCGCAAACGGGCCGCACTGGAAGGCAATGGCCTTTCCCTGTCGTATTTCACTGTGTTCTTGTGTCCAGCTATTGATGCTGGAACGACAAGATACCGCATTAAATGTAACCCTCATTTACAAGAACTCTTACCGAGCCATCCCGCGGGTGCTGCGGCACGTCATACGTGTGTTCTACCATCCTAGCCGATGCGTAGGGAGACATGGAGACTCCAGCCGCGGCCATGGCGCGAGGACAAGGCTCATCGCCGTCGTCGCCTTCGCTGCCACGTCGAGAGATGTCGGGCAGCTTGGACGACGCGTACGGTGAAGGGTAGTACTCGCGGCTGCCAGCGTCTCCACCGCCACAGCCTCCGTGGGGCTTTTCTAGCTCAGACATGATGAGCGAGTCCATTTTCAGGTCCTCGCACATGCGCACGCCTGTTGACAAAGGGAATGGAAAAGGAGAATTTCCCCACATTATTGCGATATAAAAAGCCCATGTTAAAGGCTCCGGGTTAGCACGTATGAGACAGTTCAAGAGTGCGCGCATGCAATCATCGCGGCTCTTTTCCGTCTCAAACGAGCAAGCCCTGTAATTGTTCTGACTTTTATTTCCATTCATCTATTTTAACCCTTCCACTTTTTATATTTTGTTCGGTCGTCACCGTGACTGCAGTTTTTAGAACTCTACAAAGAAAACGTTCATTTCGATTATTCATACAGCTTTGCGTCCTCATGTGTTTGCTTCTTAATTTGGTGTGTAGAAAATCGCCATATCTTACAACTCTAACGCTGCAAAAGCACCAATAATTATTTTATACACGAACCAAGTCGGTCTCACTGTTATCTAGCGTTATCAAGCACGTATAAAAAGCGAATAGAGGAAACAGTGAAACAGGCATGCCTTCATAAGTGCTGATGGCTGATGGTGGGGTCCCGGAAGACCTTCTCCGGCAAACGAGCACCATGATGGCCACAGTGACGGCCATCAGGACAATGATGGAGCAGCAAATAGGCACGATGATAGATAAGCTTCGATACCGTGGGCTAGCACTGTCCCGTCCAGCCTCAGATATTTTATCCGGCTCCAAAGGATCTAGAAAACACGCTTAGAATAAGTACAGCATGTGTTGAACAAGAATATGGCAGATAATATGTACGATTTTGAACAGGCCACTACGTCTGTTTAGGTGCCTTTGAGGAACTAAGAGGGAGAGAAATAAATAAAAAGAAGAGAAAGGGAGGTTAACCTAAAAGAACTAGTTTGCTACCTAGTACAGGAGAGAGGAAAAGGGTCGGAAAGAGGATAGTAATAGAGATATATAAAATAAATTAGAAAAAAATTCACATGCGCACACAGTCAGGGAGTTCCTGAGTCACAGTCGTTTGGACAGGCCTGGTTGTACGCAAGAAGCGCAGGAGCGCCTTCACAGCCTTCTTCTGTGGCATAAAAGTCCTGTCGGTAGCGCAGAATTCTTTCTTCCGAAATAGTCTGGTTGTCCAGTTAGTCTAGTGCATTGCAGAGTGGCTGTCTCTGCGAGCAGTATTGTGGGTATTCACACAGAATGTGCCAACTTGTTTCGTCACTGCCGCAATGGTCACATGCAGCTGTGTCGGCCATTCCCACGCGGAACTTGAGGAACGAAAGTATACAGAAAAGGTAATGATCTGCGGCTTTGTATTCAGATGTAACCAATATTTCTGTATTGTTCGTCCGTCATACCAAGAGGGCTGAAGGAGCTTGAGTAACTGGCATCGCTGACTTACTCTAATGAACGCAAAAAGAAAGAATACGAGTAGAAACAAAATGCACTGACCCACGCACTCCCTTGTACTTCCTGCGTAGAGCAGACACATTTGGCCTTGCTTAGAGAATATAATGAAGTATATGACGTATAAGCCTTATTTATCAACAAAACACGGGTCGCATACAATGCGGCAATCTCTAAGAAACACGCGTAGCTCTCTGCACTGGCGTAACAGGATGAGCACTGTGACATTTGCCAAAAAGTGGCCAGTATTCTTAACAAAGAACAGAGCGAAAACTCTGACATCAAGATGAAATTATGTAAGTTATTCTACTCACTTCCTGCGAGGGTCAGCGTGGCGACAGTGTACTCTGCCTTTGTGGAGCCTGCGCTGTTATAGGCAACCACGAGCACCTGGTACCAGGTTCCAGGCGCCAAGTCACCGAGGATCACCACGTCTCGGTCAGGAAGTACACGCGACGACAGCAGCGTCCAGTCCAATTCGTCACGGGGCCGGTATTGAACCAGGAAGTGGCTAATAGGGCAGCCGCCATCACGCCAGGCGGCCAGCACGAGGCCAAGACTGGTCACGTTGGGGAGTATTGCCGCCTTTGGCGAGGGAGCCTGGGGGGCTGCCAGGGATAGCAGGGTAGTAATGCTTCAGTGATGGCACGTTGTCCTGGTGCTGCTAAATGAAGCTTACACGCTACAGCTCTTTCAGTCACTAAGTAGCGAATGACATATCATTTTTGAAGCCTTTGGTATACCTATATCCTTGCCAAGCGTTTTCAAACTTTTGAGCAGGCCTATAATGTTTCGTTGTTAAACGACATGCAATGAGTCCAAATATTGCCGATATAGAGCACCAGTGCAGGTCATAGGAAGCAAGACGACTATGACACCAAGCACCGTAAGCCAAGCTCTACAATAAAAAAAGCTCGTAACATAACAGTTGTTGCAACGTGAAGGAAGTAAATGATCTAAGGTAAGAGAAAACGCCAGCGAGCAAGGTAAAGTGGGCGTTTGCAAGCAAGTGTGCCGCATACAGCATATTGCAATGCACGATATGAATAGAGTTTCAGCCTTCTCTTTCAATACTTCACCCGTAAGATTACACGATGATATCGCTGCCATAACGATCAAGCAACCATTAAAACAAAATTAAAGGATAACTTCAGCAAACTGCAGCAACAAAAAAACTGTGGTTACAAAGCTCAAAAGTGAGGCATCTATAATATTTTTTTTGCAGTATTTCATCTAAACTTTGTAAGATACTTACCTGTACTTTCCGGGAGCGGACGTTGGACACTCGCGATACTCGATCCCGACTAACTATATTTAGGTACAAAAATATTATTTATACAGGTTACCGCGTTTATGTTATCGAGCATTTGCAAGCGCTACTGGGATTCTTACGAACTACTGGCCTGTCGGAACGCCTCTGAGTGGACTGATTTTGTGTGTGCGTGTGTGTAGGTGTTTTTCTCTTATTTATTTTTTAACTCTCTCTTTCTCTTTCAACCCCCTATTCCCCAACCCCAGTGTAGGATAGCATACCGAATACTCGCATCTGGTTGACCGCCCTGCCTTCCGTTTTCTCTCGTTTCTCTCTCTCTCTCTCTCGCTTGCTCAGAAACTTTGTGCTTTTTTGAGATCACACCCTAAGTCAACTTTTTCACAAGGGCTGCACCAACGCGAGTTGACGGGCGTGCCCACGCACGGATGCGCTACTGTGTTTTTTTATCCTGGTCCAACTGTTAGCTATGCCAGTACAGGAGTCAAAATACCAGGGATTTACAATGCTCCGACAACAAGGGGCAGCAATACGATCAATCACGTCCATGCGAAACAGTACAAACACCAGTTTCTATCAGTATGCAATTAGACAGTCGAACCATCGTACTCATCGCTCACGTACCTGTTCCCTCTGTTTTGACTTGCAGCAGCTCTTCGGGCTCGCTACGTCCGTTGCGATTGAAGCTGAGCACAGACAGTGAATAGGTGCTACCGCATTGGAGACCTTCAAACAGGTAGCTCCCCTTGTCGGGAGTTATAGGAACCTCGCTCCACTCAAGACCCTCCAGCGTGCGGTAGCGGGCAACGTATCCTGCGTGGCAATTCGAAACGAAACGTCGAACAATCTTGCGTAGTACTGTATTCGACAGGAAGTAAATTCAATCATACAATATATGAATTAGCACACACTCCTCAACTAGATGCGTTTTTTGTAAGCCACACGGTCTTTTACTGAAAGGCAGGAATTATATTGTTTTATAGATCAAAGCTATTTTTGTACGTCTCAGTGGTCTTGGGATAGGATGAAGCTCTCACGTATCGAATGAACTAGTTATTAGACTTGCCTACCAGACGTCGTTCCCTGCCTAAAGAAGCACACGAGGTGGATGCCGTTTTTCTTGTCACGCATATCTTGTACGTGCTCTAGGTCTTTCGGTCTTGCATTTTAGGAGCTTTTATAAGTGAGCAATGGAATCGTTTCAGCATGTAAACAATGGCGTACTGGTCATTATTCGAAATCTGCATAAAATACATTTAATGAACCACATTAGAACTAAGAGGTAAAAAAAACAGATCTTTAAAGGCAGAAGAACAAAAAGAAAACGGTTTTTTTTTTTCAAGAAAAGATCTCGTTGTGATGCGTGCCACTGGTGCCACAAAAGCTATGCATCACTGTATGCTCAAAAAAAAAAAACATTAATACTTTTCAACACATCAAAGGGACTGCGCCCCTCTTTCTGGTCTCATTCTCTTTATCGTTTCGTTCTCATTGTGAACATCTCCAATAGTCTCGTCATCGAACAACGACCTATGCGTTGCACTTCCCCAAACAAGTATGCATACAGAGAGCAAACAGGCCAGTGCGCCTTTGCCACGTAGCATCCGCGAATATGCGAGCGCAGCTGCAGCGCGCCGTACTGAAGGGGTGTCACGCCGCACAACCGCTCGATACCGTCGACGCTGCCGAAACGAGGGAGCAGCGACTCACACTCGGGCGTCGTATACGATGCGAAAGACAACTCGTAGGCCAGTCTCTAGGGCATAATCTCGACTCCGGGGTGCCTGACCCGTATTCACACTTCCGGGTTTCTACTCGCCTAAACATATTATTCGCGATATCACGAGCTAAGAGACTCCATGTCAAGAGAGAAACGCGCCAAATTTTCACCATGTGAATAATTCTCGCCATTGTTTTCTAAGTATGAAATCATTGAAATATTTCACGTTATTGTTCATTTGACCAATCTTTCAGTGGGCATACTCTGAAGGCTCTAATTACCATGTGCACAGATTTGGCAAGGACTAACCGAAAAAAAGAAGCTCGAACTAGCTTATATATATATATATATATATAGATCTAAGAGACAATAATGCCAAGGAATGTATAGGGGAAGTTATTAGAACAAATGTAATGTAAATTTTACATTACATTTGTTCTGATAACTTCCCCTGTACATTCCTTTGCATTATTGTCTGTTAGATCTCGTTATATTGTGTAAGAACACGGAAAAACGAGCCCTTAGGTATACATTTCTTTCCCTTATATATATATATATATATATTATATATATATATATATTATAATTTATATATATATATATATATATGTATAGATATAACAGACAATAATGCCAAGGAATGTATAGGGGAAGTTATTAGAACAAATGTAATGTAAATTTTAATTCACATTTGTTCTAATAACTTCCCCTGTACATTCCTTTGCATTATTGTCTGTTAGATATCATTAATATTGTGTCAAAACACGGAAAAACGAGCCCTTAGGTATACACCTCTTTCCCTTATATATATATATATATATATATTATATATATATATATATATATACTTGTTTTTCATTTCGGTTTACTGTGTATTTAGGTAATGGTTTTATGCTAACTAAAATGAAACGTGAGAAGCAGATGCACTCCTCTTCAATACTCAGACACTATGAACAACTTTTTCCATGCATCTATACATTGTTCCTTTGTCTCAATTCCTTCACTTACTTCAGTCATGCGCTTTTGCGTAAAGCATTCCACTAGAAAAAAAACTATATTTTGCTACAGATGTATAGTTCAGCGTGCGGTTCCCGTCGAAGTAACGGTAAAAAGGTTCGGTGCAGTATTAGTTGACGTGAAAGCGATACAAAGCGCAGAGCAGTTATACGCCTGCGCTTCATCGGCGCTGGTATTTACGGGCAAGCGCTTGCGGCTGTCCTCATTTCCCCTCTCCTCCTTTCACTTATGCTTAGCCTCACAACTCTTCCCCTCCGCATTAGTTCTTTTTGTACATATCCATGCTATGGTAACTTCATTCACGCATACGACAAACCCTCGCCATCTTCGTTGCCCTTACCCTCACTTTTTGTTCGCGCCCCTTGATCGATTACGCGATACAGTGATATAACATGTTTACCCTCCCGCTCCTCCTTTCTCTACTCTTTGCCATTGCATCACTTGTATGCTTTCTGACGTCCCATTTCCAGCCAATGCTGTATCGTACTGTACACATGCCCATGCTACGCCCTATTCTCACCACTGCGCATTTCCCTCCTTATCTACAAATTACTTTTACTCTTCCTCACTTCCCACTTTAAGCCTTCTCTACTGTACTAAACTTGGCTAGGCAGATTCTACCCAACCCTCCAACCCATCTACAAATCCTTCTTTTTCACCCTCGCTTTTCTATCTTCCTGTGCTGTGCTATAACAGAACACGCTATATATAGTTTACCTGCAGCCTCCTATATGTTGATATGTCATGCGTTACTTTCGCACCATGCACTTTTCTCTTCCACACACTTATTTCCGTCACCCATCCCTTTGCAATATTTAACAATACATTGACATTGCTATGTAGAGAATTGCCAGCGTGTATATGACACATTAGATGATGCCGAGAGCGCCAGACCTCTAGAATGCTCTTGATTTAAACAATTCACAAGCATGATGGCGTAAGCCAAAAACTGGGCCACAAAAATATATAACACTTTATCCCAACACCGAGTTGGCCCTCTTTGAACATCAATAAGTATACTTGCTGCGAGCAGGAAAGCGAATATCTTTAGGGTAATGCACTGCGCGCAAAGGTTATCAAGCGACTTAGCCAGACTAACCTTCGACGACTTCTTTTCCTTCGTCTTGTGGCGTCCAAGAAAGTTCAATTGAATCTTTCGTTCTAGACGTCACGGTCACCAGAGGTGGTGGTGGTGGATCTGTACAAAACAATCATGTTTGCTGCCACTTAATTGATGAGGAATGCGCAAACGCGCTCCCAGATATTGTAACCATTGTGAGAGCACTGCCGTAACTCTTGAAGACATCAAGGGCTTTTATTGTGACACCGCGCGAGTAATCAGAAAGAGAATATACAGAAAGTTCGTTATATAAATGCTATAATGCTACAACAACCCTACAGTACACAAAAAGCTCAATTTGTGTACTTTATAGCATAGATTGATCATTGTACAAAGAAAAGTTAAAATATATATACCAGCAATAGAGTTTGTTTGTGTCTGCCTTTACTCTTATTTAACTAGTCATGTCAAGCTTTTTTTTTCAGCAAAATATTTCATTATATTTAAAAAACTGCCACATTTTCAATATTTATAATTTTTGGCCAGTGTGACAAAATTGGTATAAATATACATTCATAGAATATGCGCATTCGCAAGCATAATTAGGCACAATCATATAATAAGTCATCTATTCATTCAATACACAAAATACTATATCGACCATAAAAATACGTCCTGCCCACTTTCTTGAAGTGCTGCAGGTATTTGCCCCCATACCACGAATGAAAATATTTTATAACCCTTTAGGAGGACCATTTACAAGGATGTAGAATCAAAATCCTTAGAAAATATTGTCGTCAAGGTATCGGGACAATATGCAAGCTACATTTCGAGGTAAGCCTACAGCTGTCGCTCATGTCTAAAAAAAAATGTCCAGTAGTGTTAAAAATTATAAAGAAAGGAGGCATTCGCGTGCTACCTGCGGCGATACCTTTGCTGTAGCATAAGGCGTCTTAAAATGCGCACAAAAGCTAATTACAATAGAAATTAAAAAATAAAAACAAACTTTTTAATCAGTGGAAGTAAGTTGCCGAGTCGAAAGAGTCAAATATGTTCTTCCTGCACTCAGTCCATAACCACTTTAAAATTTCTGAAATACGGTCACTGGTATACACGGCGAATCAATGAAGTCTCGCTAATTTAGCAGCGGAAATCGAAACAGACGTACGAAACATCCCATCTACCATTCACTTCAAAAACGCCTTCAATGATGACACTGTTTCCTCACCCTTATCGACCATTAATCTAGATACTTCGTTTAGTGGCAAAGCTTTTTTGCCACATGGCTGCTTATCGACGCTAGCTTATATTCCCCCCACAATCCGACAGAAATAGTGCTGACATCGAGAGTGTTCTTAAAGTGAATGGCAGATGCGCTGTTTAGTGCACCGGTTGCTGTTACGCCAGCTGATTTGGGAAGATTTCATGGCTCCGGGTTGATTAAGAGTGGCTGCCTTTCAGAGATTATAAATTGGCTATGAACTACTTTTAGCAAGACCTTAAACTCACCCGTTTTATTCGACAGCCTATTTTCTTTTGTTGGAAAATTATTTTTTAATTTTATAATTGCTGCCGTAATAATGTTCCTACCCATCTTCAGATGTCCTATGCGTCAATAGAGGTATCGCCACGAACAGCATGTGACTACCTTCTTTCTTTAATTTTCTAAGAAAGTTGGACCCATTTCTTGAAACGCCCTGTAATTCGATATACGTCGTTACAGAGCACTGAGTGCATAGTTTTTTTTTCTTGCAATAGGAGGTATAAGGGCAGTATCAACAAGTTTTTGTCGTCGCCGTTGCTGACCCGCATTAAAAGCAGATCAATAATATTCCCCGTGCATCGTATGTTCTGCTCTTAAGTAAAGCGAACGGGGGCGACAAAGCTACGAAAGTGGCTGAAGCAGAGATCAAAGAACCCGACCTACCTCCATCTCACGGCGGGTGCATACGCTAAATGAGTGCGCGAGTGAGCCCTGATATCGATGAGTACCGAAGCAGATAATAAACACTTCACCCGTCTTGAGCGACCATTAAAAAGAAGTGGTGTGGCCATGGTGAAAATGCATTGCTCGAGCGGCAGCTGTGAAATTCGATTAAAAGTGCGCGGTCGCCATCGCTGGAACGCGAGCTACTTTGGTAGGCATCAGCAGATGGCGCATGTTACTCCTGAACTGTTGTGTTCTGAATGTAAAGTGACTGTGCGCAAATTGTGTTTTGCAGAGTTACATAAACGGAATACAAAAGAGTTAGTGGCTAGCCTTACTTCATATAGCGTTACATGTTTATTGCTGTATTCTTCATTGCTTCGCCCCTGCGGTTTCACCGGGCTGTTTATCACGGTTAATCTCCTGAAAACGACGCACTGACCTTGCTCGTGCGTCTGCACCATGATCTCGTCGGAGAGCGGTCCTGCTCCTTTGTCGTTGTACGCTTGCACTACTACGGCGTAGGCAGTGGCCCGCTGTAGGTTATCCACGACACATCGCGTGAAGGGATTGCCCGGCGAAGATGAAGATCCCGTGACGGTCTTGAAGACGTATGGCTCGGTGGAGCCGTGTACACGATAGCCAACATAATAACCCTGGATTTCGCCGTACTGAAGGTGCACTGGTGGTGGCTGTGGCATGGTGTTGCGCAGATTGAAAAGAAGAGTGCGAAGTGCAGAATTTAGAGTCATGAATGCAGGAATTGGAAATTTTACACTTCTCGGTATACAATGCTGTTGCCATATATAATATTGCATTGTGGTTAACTCTACTCACATCGTAGTTTAAAGAACATCAAGTGCGTAGCACACAGCTGTTATATATTTTTGAGAAAGTCATAAAAAAGTGAATACAAGTGACACTGAAATGACAGCAAACTAGGCAGACACATCAAAGACAGCTGATCATTTTCAAAATGAGTTTGCCCATAATTATAGAGATGCTTTCGGTAACACATTCGGTATTTTCGGTTTCAAATATATTGAGTACAAGATACTTGCAAAGTGAAACGTAAGAGCGTTAATCTTCAATTGGATGTAGCTGGCCTGTGCGCTAGATTATTATCACTGATCAAGCGTTGCAGTTACCAATTGAAGCGCCTCACCTTCCATGACACTTCTACTTTTCTTGAGCTGACTGCTGTCACCTTCACGCTCTGAGGAGGAGTTGCAGGTACTGTGAAATGTCACAAGAAGAAACATTTTTTTTAGTGTTTTCTCGCTCTAGAATAGCAGCATGTACATGCGATGATCACATTGAGTTATTTATTTTAATAATCATCCGGAGTACCTTCAAATTCTATTACCACCTGAGTGTTTTCCACTCTTTGTCTACAAAAACTATCAGGTTCTGCGATGCTGCATATTTCTCATTTGTTGTCAGCAATGACTCTTTCTATTTCGTTCAATGTTTTGATGTTGATTGCAGAACTGCCACACACTGTTCTAATTGCAGTACTGCATTGAAAACTGTGGTCATGTCTTAGTGCACACAAAAATTCGCCTTCAATATAATGATTTCAACTACCACCATGTAACAGGCCTGCTTGATGCAAAAAAAAATTAAATGATGTAGCGCATTCATATGCCTTAGTGATATAGTTACGATCAACGGGTTATTGGTAAATTTGCGCTGGACGTCACAAAGAGGCTCCTCCGAGCAACCGTAAATAATAACTTATTTTTTCTGCATCATTCACAGCGAATGCAATCTGCTCCGGCATTCACCTTCTCCATCGGTGATGACCGTCAACGCCTCACTAGGTGGCCCGATACCAATGACGTTCTCAGCGAGCACTCTGAAGTTGTATTCGGTGAGTGGATGCAGGTCTTGCACAGTAACCTGGCTCTGGTCAGCCTCGGCCACCATTTCGCTGAGTTGCTTCTCCCATGACTCTGCAGCGATCAATGGTGACAAATAGTGAATGCGAGAACTCTCAATTAATACCGGGTTCAGAACTTTTGAATGCTTCTAAGACGGTGGCGATAGGTCAGAAGAACGATATTGATGAAATATTAACAAACCATTGTGTTCTTTTAGGTGTCGACTTAAACGAAAACAAATATTGAATGGCTTTATTTAACTTCACGTAAAATTCTTACCTCTTAAAACATAGCGCCCAGAAAATTCATGAGAATAAAATAACAGCTAAACCGTAAGAGGGAAGAAATGACTGCGATAGTAACACATTTTAATGTCACAAAAGTTTCAACAAGCAGCTAGGAACTTGCAGAGCACCGCTCATGCACAAAGCACGCACAAAAATAACACTACACAGGACATGTGGGAACAGTTGTCACAGTTGTTACGTCGTGTTTGCAAACATGTTTAAGGATCGACAACACACGAGCAAGCGCTCCTATTGCTTTCTTTAGCTGTGACACTGGAAGTGAGCCATATATTTTACTGCCTCAAGGTGGCATCCGACGCATCGGGTGCTCGGCGTGCCACGTAACGAGTTGGTGCTGAAATTAACCACTGTTTCGTGTGCGTCTGAAAAAAATAAAAAAAATCCAGGAATGTTGCTTTAAAGGCACACTTTGAGCCATATTGAGGGTCATAAACAATGCCCTAAAAAATATTCGTATCTGCGCCCTGCTAGCGAGCGGCTAAGGTTGTTTTGAGATAGCTCGGCCATATTATGCTGGTGGATGCATGGCGGGTAGCAAAATTGTGCAACGCGACGCGCTGCGGAGTGAGGGATGACACATGCAGTCGCTGGTCACACGCTTTGAATACTTTTTATGTATTTTTCATCCCGCGAATATATATATATATATATATATATATATATATATATATATATATATATATATATATATATATATATATATACTGTTCATTTTGTTTATTCAATTTGTGTAAATAACGTATACTCCTTACGGGACATGACGGTAACGAAATATCAAACCTCAAACCACCGAGTGTTTTCGTATAATTGCCATTACAATAACAACAATTGTGTATGTACGTGTACTGATGAATCACAGATTTTCTAACACCTGAAAAATCGTTCAAGAAATACCTAAAGTGGTATTCTTCTGTAGGTTCATTGTTAAAATCGAAAATAAAGGGACATAGAAAGACGAGCACAAGGACACGCCCAGTGTTCGATTGGTTCCTGTTTTAGTAATTCTTCTCTTAGCCATTTACTGTAGCTGACTTGCTCATACTGTTCTCCTATCACTAGAAATGGCCGGCAAGTAAATGACAAGGTTTGTACCTCTGGTGAACAACCGCAAATAAAACTACAACTACATGAACGTTGATCACATTGTTCTTACACAAGTACAGTCCATTTAGTTGCCAATTTCCCGAAGCTTATTTTCAACAGCAACACAGCTTTCGGTGCGATAAAAAAAGAAACACTGCGCTTCTTTCTCTTTGTCATTTGCTCCAACGTTCACATTGAAGTGCAAGGAGCAGGAGACGGTCTTTCTCGGTGCCTGAAATCTTCCACACTTCATTGTTGTATATGTTCTGGCTGATGAGGTCTTCTTTTGCTTACTTATACATTCAAGATTATCCATCGTTATCAAAAGGGCGTGTATGTCGTTTTTAACCGACCAATGAGCAGCGTTACAGCAAAAATGCGTCGGGTCAGTATACCGAGTCCGACATTTAAAAAATGCCCAAATAAATTGAGGTTCCCAAGAATTGTTCGGCACTTATGCATGCACATAACCCTGTCACAATACTTGAAGTAATTAACATTAATAATAATAATAATAATAATAACATGCAGAAGAACCAGAAAAACATACCGATGCTCCTCTTGTACTGCACGATGTACTTAGTGATGGGCGAGTTCCCATCGTTCGGGCTTTTCCACAGAATGGTCACAGATCGGCTGAGCACGTTCAGCGCTTCCGGTCTGGGAGGTTCATCGGGCCTGTCTTGGAGGAAAACACAAGCATGGCGGCTTGGTTCACAGGTAGGAGTCATTCGCATGAGCTGAAAGTTGTTTTTCTTTTGTGCATAATAGTTAAATTTTATTTCTCAACGAACAAAATGAGCAAATAGTACGATAATGCACCCTGAATGAGGCCACGAGGCAGTATATCTAAAAATGTTTCATTAAAGCGGTCTAGTGACTACTAAATCGTGCTGGCTTCTAAAACGTGCAGGGGTTTTCTGATGTAATATTGCTTTCCGCTTTTTGAGACCGGAAGCCACTTCGCCTTCCTCGTGTTACCCCGCGTAACTTGTAAGCTTCTCCGGAGAGTGCGTAAGTAGTCAAGTGCACACAGAAAAAAGCCTAGCATGTTGTCTTCGAACACTGGAAGAGATATATCTTGGTTGCCGGCGTTTGAAAATGCACTTCTTGTGCTTCTGTCGGCTTCGTTCGGTATCGCTTGTCAGCACCGCTACCGGCACTGATCTATGACAGTTTAATGCGGATGTTATAACTTGATATCTTCTGTTAGGTCTCCGCTTATTTGAATATTCTACTCAATACTCTCCCTTCTGGGGTACATGCACGCTCTTATCATTAGCCTCATACTTTCATATATTATTTACTCCGTCCCCGGAAAATCTGTCAGTTACTCATGCGAACAGGAACCCACTCTCTAGACACCTGGCCTGGCTGGTCCGTATAAACCACCCATCCTCTCAACAATGGATCAACTACATTTGAAGACTGCGCAGCGCCAGAACTGCCACATCTCTGCGTCTGTGGCGGACACCCCTCATTCATTATGAATGTAGGGACAAAGGCAGACCGCGAACTAGTGACCAGAGGCGTGAAGTTTACAAGAAACTAACCGGAACGCTAAGAACGACTTACGCACATTTGGTTTAGAAGTGGCCTTTACAGCACCTGCATTAAACGGCTCTTCGTCTTTTAAAATTTGATAATTTAATGGCGAAGTTAAGCTGTGTGATTGTCTTGCTCTTAAATAATGTATTCAAGTTGGGGACAAGAAGTTCCAGTGTTAGGCCAGCACATGCATAACAGCACTGATGTAGCTGGAATCTACTTGTGTTGCTACGCAGGTAAAAACACAGTACTCTGGTACTTACACCTGCACCCTTTTATTTACTGGTATACTTATAAGAATGTTTTCGTTTTTCCTAAATATTGCTCGATAAGAACATATAGAAGTGAAATTAACTGTGAGCAAGTTTAGCAACAGCTATTGTTTGTGCTACTGGTGCTGAAGTTTAACGTTAGTTACAGTCAGTAGTAATTCGGGTGCACACTGCAGAAAATTCGAATTCAGTTCAAGGTAATATAAAAATTCATGACAATCCGCAACAGCCAGACCAATAGGCAAATATACAAAGCAAGTAATGCAGCATGAAAGTCTTTCATTGCCGCTATTCCCCTCAAAAAGTGCCACAAGTGTCGCTTTTCTTTCGAAAACGCTTCGCAAGAAACATGTATATGTATTTCCGGCCTCAGTAAGACGATCCTCCGCCGACTTAGATTTTTGAGGCATCGCTCAACTGACAACGTGCGCCATTTATCCACGTGCCAAATGAGAGAACCTCTGTCATAGAGGGAAGGAAAGTAAAGAAGCGGAACGCAGCGGGAACCCAGGGAACACGAGAATCGCGATAGAAAAGGCGAGCCCGAAAGGAGGTGAAGAGCGGTAGGGCTAAGCGAAGACCGATCGATGCCCAGTCTGTTCAACACATTGCACGCAACTATGAGAATATATGCGCCCAGCAAACACTTTACGCGTAAAGAAATCTGCACTGCGTGCGCGGCATGCCTGAGTTCACGTTCACTGCCCAACCTTTTTTTTTTCCGGATCCAGTTTTAATGTGATATTGTTAAAGAGCTCGTTTTGCAGAAATTCCGGCGTCGGCGTTGGCTTCGTTGGTTGTGAGCGAAACATGTTGCGCGTGTCCGAAAAATTGAGAAAGAAGCAAATAAAATAAATTCTGGGTCTTTGTGGGGATCGAACTCGGTTCGTTTGCGTGGCAAGTGGGTGTTCCACCACAGAGCCACACGTCTGCTTGTGAATACAGGGAAAATAACTTCCTCTGCTTGCAAATACAGAGAAAATAACTTTTAGGCTTCACAAACACACGCGTCTCCTATACATGCTTCAGCAATACAAGATGTAGCATTGCAATAATAATGCGTGGTGCGTGCGTAATAACTCTCTTGAATGAAAACGACTCTTCCATTTGACCATCAAATATGAGATAAACGTTGGAAATACCACTTTCTTTGAATATGCGTCTTGTACACTATTATGATTACAACCAATGTACAGCGTGCATAATTACAGACTAGAAAATTGATAACCACAAAAAAATACATCGCATCAGTGAAATTTCGCATACATACGATACGGCGGATATATGAGTGGCCAATATCAATGACAGGTCGAGTGACCGGCATCCGCTTATGGGTACTGCAGCCTAACGTCAATCACTTGCAATGAAAGCCGGCAACTGAGAAAGAGCTCCTTTATTCTTCGTGAAATATCTCTGAGGTGTCAATTATTCAACACAGGTTGTCACCTCCATTTCACGCAGCAAGAACTTTACGGAGAAAAGACCATAACATTATTCAAAGATGGGGTATGATTCAACTGTGTATTGTAGTGTGTAAACACTATTATTACAAAATGAAAAGCCAGCATATTTACTTGCCAAATGAAACAATGAGGAAATATGCTTCAATTTTTTCTAGAAGGCTTGTTCGTGATAAATGTGAAGAAGCTGAAGCCTATTTCTTTTAAAAAGTTTTTTTTAGGATGTGCTGGTCCTTTGTCATATAATGTTTGATCCTGAGCAGACGGGCTTCCGATGGACGTTCTGATTAGATAAACACAACAGCGTTCAGTAATTGGCTATGTATATGAAATTTAAATGAAAAACAACCGGGTGAACAAGGGCCACTTCCAAGAACAAAGCTGGAAGAAAATATACGTTGTTTACAAGTACGAAATCTGACACTCTTCTTTATCATGGAAACACGACAAAACTGGCTGAACTGAAGGCCCCATCTGTTCTTCGAAGTGCGATTTCTTAAATTTATTACGCCTAAAGCATTAAGGCACAAAATAGGAACTACGCATCTGGCAAAGAAACGATATTATGATGAGGCCTACCTTGTATGGAGAGGTGTGTCACCTGCTCGTCATGTCCGTAGGCATTGGAAACCTCGCATTTGACGGTGCCTGTGTCGTTCTTCTCGGCGAGCAGTATCATCAGCTCGGACCAGGGTGACTCCTCGCGGGAGTGGTCTTTGATGGTGTACCTGCACCCGAGTAGGCACGCCATCGTACACCTGTGCGTCCAGTGTAAGAGCGACGATGGTCGAAGGTGGACGGAGTCCGGGGGCGAGAGCACTATGACGTCGCCTCTCGGACGATGACCGCGCCTGCTTCTGACCTTTTCCAACACTTCGAGACCCACACTTTAAGAAAGCCATTAACGAGCAGCTCAAGTGTTCGAAACGAGCTGAATGGGCTTGATTTATAGCTACGGGTGGCCTGCACGCGACGGACGAACCCGATAGGACTGTCATGCTGCTTGAGCTCGGTAGCGTTTGAAACCATGAAACTTGACTTGTTCAAATCGTGCCTAATCAAAAGATGCACTGACTGCCACAAAATAACTTTACTGCATCAATTTGTCTTCATGTTCTCTAAAAAAACTAATAATTGTGCGCACGTTGATTTTTTCAGTTTCAGAAATTTCCGAGCATTTTCTTTTTTGTAAATCATTTCTAAATTTTTTTTGAAAATTCTTTCCAACCGTAGTCATTCATCGAAACCAAAAAGCAATGCTAAGGTCTTGCATGCGTGTTCACTCCCGTATACAATGTCAAACGAATTTCACTAGGCAAGTCTCAATTTCGCGTTTTATTTCACAATGACGAAGGTACGAAACAGTATGTCGCTGAGCTTAATGTAACTGAATGGCATATTGTAGAGCGGTAACAGGAAAAACAGAAAGCTCACACTGTTCTAAATTAACAAATGAAGTAAGCTCCAGTATTTGGTTACATAATATTGTCCCTACCTAGGATTAGAGAATGCCTTGATTGGTTTGCTGTCCTTCGACCAAAAAAAGCTGATAGGTTCATCTCCCGTAGCTTCACAGCGTAGCTTCACCACTTGCCCTCTCCCAGCCATGTGGGACATAAAACGCTGCCTTACTTTGGCGGGGGCTGAAATGAAAAAAAAACGGTAAAATAAATAATGTTATTCCTGCGTGCAAAAGAAATAAGCTAAGTATTCCTAAAACAAACAACGAAGGACTTTAGTGAGAGCTGAAACCGTGTTATTCTCGTCGATTGTTTTTCAGTGCAGACCTTTCATAAAAAAGGCCCAGCTATCACTGAAGCTTGTGTTTGTCGAGCAGTGAAGTGAAACCGTTCTAAGACTCATATCATTATCGAAATCTTAGGCTTACATATCTGTTCCTTTTTTAGTGATGACATCTTCTTAAGATGAAAATTACTCACGGCGGTTTGCACAACTTCGGCTACAGCTACACCTCCTGATCAAAATACAGTGCTTTTTAGGTACGTTAGCTGTCCTGATCAAAATACACTGATTCTTCGGTACGTTAGTTTTACTTCATACAAGTTGTTTATTCACTGTTGAGACACAAGCATGGTTTATCCTAATATTACAGATCACATGCCTAATTACAACGCACTTTTTAGCGCTATTTGTCATTTTTTATAATACTGAATTGCTTACCATGGACGTTAACCTGCACGACAGTGTACAGGGGTAGACCAACGCCGTTCGAGGCCTCGCACATATAACCGCCTGCATCCGCGGTCTCCACTTCTTGAATCACTAGCGATCCGTTCACCAGTGCTTGCATGCGAGAGCTGCTGATAACGGTGCGGAATTCCGTGCTCTGAGGTCCTGACAAAAGGCAATAATAGCGCGAATATGCCACGTGAAAGCTAGAAAAAAACTTCAAATTTGAGATGAAAACATTTTTAGAACAATACAAGACGATTATATAGTAAAATACTAGTCCTAATGGTACTAGAAATACCATTGCGTGCATTTATTTGTTTGCAGGGTAAAATTGCTAAAATTCACAATAATACAAGTGCACAGTCAATATTGCCACGAGTATGGGATGAGATCGCACTATTCGGGTTCATTATTGATTGGCACACATGTGCCACAGTGAAACAATGTAGAGGAAAAAGCAAGTGTAGAATTACACGAAGTCGTGTTCCCAGCGATTGGTACAGGTCGACGTCTAGCTGTTCTGATAAACAGACGCTATGCGCCATCCAATATAACGAGACATTCTTAACGAGCTTCTATTTTAGACACGGTATATTATGTATTTTTTCGAAGCTCCCTTGCAATTTACTAGTGGTGCGCGAAATTTCGATTTGAATAAGTGAGCGTTGATTGCATAGTTAGGTTAGTTTGTTGGGTTGAACGTCCAAAAGAGACCCGTGTTACCAAGACACCACAGTGAAAGGCTCCAGCTAATTTCAACCACCTCAGGTTAGTTAAGTTGCAGCGAAAGGCTACAGTCCTTCACTCTCTACTATTTAACTTGCAGTGAAATGCGACAGCGAGGGTCGGAATCGCATATGCGAGTTTCGCATCGCCAGTCTAGCACCGTTGCCATCAGGCGAACCATGACAGAAAAGAAACTGCTGAATTTGGTTTGATGAAAAAAAAAGGCCTATGAACTACGAACTGGTTTCGAGTGAACAGCTTGTTACAAAACGTGCTTGCATAATCAAGCAATTAAAACTTTGAGTTTGCAAAGCGCAGTGTGTCGAGTGTACCGGGAATTTCAGGCACGAGGGAGCAACGTTTTTAGTGCGTTTATTTGCTTTACCATGGCTTACGTTTTTGTAGTAGGCTGGCTGAACTTACGGATTTATTTGAAGCTCATCCATGTGCGATTATTAGAATGAGTTTGTCACAAACAATTCATATGCTGGTGATAATTAGAGAAAAAAGATGAACGCGAAATTTCACCCTTAAGCCGAAGTTTATTAACTTAGTTGGCGAGTTGTGAACATGGCAGATTACGGGAGTGTAAAGGCACGCACAGAGGGAAAACTGATGTCATGTTCAACGTTAGCCTTTAGTACGAGTAACCATCAACTCAACCTTGCAAACTCGGAAGCAGCTAAGAACACTGTCTAGGCAGCCTATAGTGGCGAAAGAGTGGTGCGAGAGGGAAACCTTCAAACCTGCCGACTTCTTCCAACGAACCCTGGGTTCCGGGGTGCCATCAGCCTGACAGTCAAGGATCACTCGCTCACCGGTAGTAACAGTCGTATCCGCGGGCTCCAGCCGCCATCTTGGTGGGGCTGCCACAGAAAGACCGAGCATCGAGTGATAAACATTAATTTATTACTGCATAAGTCAATAAAGAGGATATAGAAACTTCAAAAAAACTGTGAGAAGTAATTGCGAATGCTTAGTGTGGTATTTAACGTCAGTCGGGTTCATCGTCCTAAAATTGCGAACGTGGAACAGAAACATCAGCATAGGTAAACAAGCTGCATTGAACAGAATCATGAGCGTGCGACTATCTCGTACACATAAATTAAATATAAATGTACGTAGATTTTCTGCGTGTTATACGATATGCCAGCTATTAACTTTGACACAGAACTTTTGAAGAGTGCCGTCTTTTGTTTTTCAATGCGAAGCGTATTAGCGGCAAACTTTCCCGAAGGAGTAGCACCAGGAACTTTGAATTTCTCTTGTCGCACGTACCACATTTATTGGTATGTTGTTGCATAGTTTGCAGACCTTAATTGAAAGCGTCTGGTTTGTACTTACCGTAGACGACAAGCGGCGCAGAGTAGTTGACAGCAGCGGCTTCGTTCGCCGCAAGGCAGGTGTACACGGCCGTGTGCTCCTCGCGCAGGGACTTAAACACCAGCGTGGAGATGAAGTCATCCACGTGACCGAAAGAGACACCTTCTTTTCCGGTAGATGGCGATGGGTCCAATGGCACGCCATCGCGAAGCCATGAGAGACGTATTGGTGGGTCACCATCGGGAACGCTGCATGTAACGCTGGCACGGGAGCCCAGCTGAGGTTTCTCCGGAAAGGAGAATGGTGTGATCGATGGTGGAACTGTAGGAAATTTCGTGTTCCGAGAGAGGACGCAAACAGAAAGAAGGGTGTGTAAGTTCGCTTGGATGTTCTTATATATAGGTAATATAACCATATATAGACAAATATATAGGCATATATAGGAATTATAGGTAACTGTAAGGTAATATAGGTAACTCGCCCATCACTTTGGGTCCCTATATATATAGGGACCCAAAGCTCATGTTTGCGGAGCGATGACAACGCCGCGCTGCGGCTCTGGCGGCAAGGGCCGGGGAAATTGGGGATAGGCGCGACATAGGGCGCAGGCGAATTCAATAAGTTTCACTGCAGACGAAGCACGTGCAGCACGCGTTCTGCACGTGCTAATTTTGCGCACAATTACGTTCACGTTTCGTAGCACCTGTCTGGCTTGGAAACTTAGCTTTCCAACTCCGCATGCGAACACTCTAAGCAGGAGCGTGAGAGCCTGCATGTGTACGAACGAGCTGCAGCGCGGCGGCGGAGGAACAATACAAATTGCACGCAGATAGTAAAGCGAGCGATTGCAAAATCCTGTCTAAAGGCGGCCCTGATGCGGTCTTGCCATCACACATTGTGTACTAGTTTTGAGTCACAGGTGCGCAGATTGCGCAAGGCAGGGTACCCGGATAACATACTGTGTTCCATAGCTGAAAGTATCTTAAAAGACATCAAACAGCTAACCGAACCGACTAGTGGTCAAGAAAAAAGTTCTTTTTCAAGAACAGCAGTCATTCCTTACTTGCATAAGGTGTCACATTGTTTAAAAAAGGTAGCACAAAAAGCTGGAATCAGAGTTGTTTTTTCAGCCAGAAATAAGTTCTCTAGTATGTGCCATCAGGTGAACAGAGAGGACAGAGGGCCTCGCGTGTGTGATAAAAAACACGCAATCAAGTTTGTTGAATGTTGTTTTTGTGCCATTTATGAAATTCCCCTCTCTTGCGGCCGCTGTTACATCGGGCATTCTGGCCGCTGTATAAATGACCGCCTCAGGGAACACCGCAATCTAATGCGGGGTTCTGTTGGCAGCCACTTAGCTGCGCACAGCTCCATTTGTGGATGCCGTGCATTGTTTGACAAATGCAAGATACTTCGACGCTACAGAGATAAAAGGACACGTGAGATTTATGAGGCATTCTGCATAATCAAGAAAGGCGATATGTGTGTCAGTGCACCTTCGATAACGCTCCTCACCAGGGAATTGGCGTATTTGACAAGCGAATGATTGCGCAATCACAGTTTGTTTGTTATACGCATACAATCATAACAAAAATTACTCTTTCATGTCACTCGACTTCTCTCCCTCTTTTTTCAAGTTTCGTGTGCTATATATACACCCCTGTACGAAATAAATTTTGGTTGTAAGTCAGCGCCTCGTCCGTCTCTTCTCTGTACTGTGTCCTGTGTTACGCGCTGTTTTTTCACTTCGTTGACCATGTACCAACCGGCCCAAATAAGCACTTTAGTACAGTTCATTTCTAATACATCGGGCTCTGTTATATCCTACCCCTTTCTCCGCTCTTCCGTTGTGTGTAAAAACCTGCTGGCTACTGCGATCTGCAGGACTCGTCTTTATACGTTCGCCTTGAAGAATTCGTCTCTGCCTCCAGATGTTCTTCAACTTTTTGGTGGTTTAGCGCCATCAAAGGGTCATGCTGACAGAATATGCCGAATCTTCCGGTCGGAGGCCTGGCGACAAGTGCGGTTCTACTCGGACTGCCTATATGCTGCAAGCATGGGAAATGCATCGCAAAACAGTGCTCTGAGGGCCTACCGCAGAGACCTGGGTATTGCATCCCGGACAGCGGATTTTCTTTGGAAGATGATATTTGCCAGCCTGCCAAGAAGAAAGAAGCAAACATGTCAATCTGGACAAGAAGTTGTGACTCTAGGGAACGCAAGCATCCCTCCTGGAGTAAAAAGCGCATTGGAAAAGGGCCCAAAAATTTGCGAGCCACCAAAATTGGACCAAGTAGAGCTTTTGAGCTTAGTAAGGAGCACGGCGGCACGAGCCTCTGTTGATAATAGAGACAGGTGCATTCAAGAAGGCGTGGATTGTTTGTTGCCAACAAAGCAAACCGGAACATCACGTCAGCCTTCCGTGATTAAGTCGCTACGCGCTGCAGATCTCAAGCTCCTTCAGGCGGACAAAGAAGGCGGTTTTGTCCTTGCCCCGACAACCGTCTACAAAGAAAAGGCGGACGCTGCTGTCACCGAAAACTTCCAAGTCGCGAATGTAAAACCTTCCAAGGTCAAGGCAACAGCTAGCAAACTTTGTGAAGAGGCTGGCCTTCAAAAACTGGCGTCATCAGTGAGAGCAGCGAGGGGTGTGAACCTTTCAGTGTTCTTTTCAGCAAAGACGCACAAGCCGGAAGTTCCCTTCCGCGTCATTGTCTCGGAACAGGGCACATGGCAGCGCCTGGTGGGAAGGTACCTGCAGCGTTCCCTATCTGTCCTTCCTGTGGAAGACCCTTGCCTCATCAGAAAGCCTCAAATAGTATCCGAATTTCTTCAACAAGAGTGCCCTTCAGAAGTGAGCTTCTTTTCTGTGGACGTAAAAGACTTATACTATTCCCTGCCGATGGACCAGGTGTGCGCAGAGGTGAGCGACTGCATAGACCGCTATGGGAACGTCAAATTTCAGGACTCGTGCGGAATTAGCGTCAGAAACTTTTTAGAAATGTTGACCTTTTATTTACGTTCTACATTTATAAAGCATGATGACAAACTTTATATTCAAAAAGAAGGTGTTTGCATAGGTTCCTGTCTCGCCCCGATCCTAAGTGACATTCTTTTAGCCAAATATGACAGATCTCTCATTAATTGCCTACAACTGACGAGCGCCGTGAAAGTGTTTAGATTTGTTGATGACTTCTTGATTTTGTACCGGTCCAACCACTCTGAAGCTCAGCAACGTGCTGATCAAATTGTTGATGTGTTTCGCACTTGCTTGGGCTCACTGCAACTAACCACTGAATTCCCCATTGCTAACAAACTCCGGTTCCTTGACATTGAAGTTTTTTTGTCCGACCACGTGTGCTGGCAGTATGCCCCCCGCTCCAAAAAAAGTTTGCTACCCTACAGTTCTGCGCATTCAAAACTTGTAAAGCGAGCGATTGCAAAATCCTGTCTAAAGGCGGCCCTGATGCGGTCTTGCCATCACACATTGTGTACTAGTTTTGAGTCACAGGTGCGCAGATTGCGCAAGGCAGGGTACCCGGATAACATACTGTGTTCCATAGCTGAAAGTATCTTAAAAGACATCAAACAGCTAACCGAACCGACTAGTGGTCAAGAAAAAAGTTCTTTTTCAAGAACAGCAGTCATTCCTTACTTGCATAAGGTGTCACATTGTTTAAAAAAGGTAGCACAAAAGCTGGAATCAGAGTTGTTTTTTCAGCCAGAAATAAGTTCTCTAGTATGTGCCATCAGGTGAACAGAGAGGACAGAGGGCCTCGCGTGTGTGATAAAAAACACGCAATCAAGTTTGTTGAATGTTGTTTTTGTGCCATTTATGAAATTCCCCTCTCTTGCGGCCGCTGTTACATCGGGCATTCTGGCCGCTGTATAAATGACCGCCTCAGGGAACACCGCAATCTAATGCGGGGTTCTGTTGGCAGCCACTTAGCTGCGCACAGCTCCATTTGTGGATGCCGTGCATTGTTTGACAAATGCAAGATACTTCGACGCTACAGAGATAAAAGGACACGTGAGATTTATGAGGCATTCTGCATAATCAAGAAAGGCGATATGTGTGTCAGTGCACCTTCGATAACGCTCCTCACCAGGGAATTGGCGTATTTGACAAGCGAATGATTGCGCAATCACAGTTTGTTTGTTATACGCATACAATCATAACAAAAATTACTCTTTCATGTCACTCGACTTCTCTCCCTCTTTTTTCAAGTTTCGTGTGCTATATATACACCCCTGTACGAAATAAATTTTGGTTGTAAGTCAGCGCCTCGTCCGTCTCTTCTCTGTACTGTGTCCTGTGTTACGCGCTGTTTTTTCACTTCGTTGACCATGTACCAACCGGCCCAAATAAGCACTTTAGTACAGCTGAATTGTGTTTTCACTTTTATGCTCACTTGGCATAGCTGCATTAGTTTTTCTTTATTTCTTAAGCCTAGCTTGTGTTGCTACGTATTTCTACAAAAAGTAACGTGAAGTGTGAAGTCTAAAAGAGAAAAAGTTGGTAGTGGGCGCAGTTATTTTCAAGGCCACCGAATGAGCTTGATCAAAAATTGAAAGTAGGAACTCCATGATTTTTGCGAATAAGAGTTAACCGGGAGCGTGGCGGCTGCGTGTTTGTTCCGGCCTCATGAGAACTTTTGTTATCACCTATGTATGAGTGTATATGTGTATATATACTATTTTGTTTTTTTAATTCTTTATTTCAAACACTCAAGTGAATAGAAGAATCCGTCGCAAGGTAATGGTGACAGTAACTTTTTCGTTTATTTTTCATTTCGGTAAATGAAAAAATCGACACAAGAGGTCACGTTCACGTTAATTTGTTTTAGCAAAATGTAGCAAATCATGCTGGTACTTAGGAATAAAGGAAAACCAATGCAGTTATAACAAGTGCCACTAAAAACGTCCACTCTCTACGGCTACAATTTAAGCCAAGGTGGTCCAAGTTTGAAGCGTACATTCCAAACCAGCATCAATTTGGCATAGCCGTACGGAGCTCTTAAGCCACGACACCTATCATCGCCACAAGTGACATGACCCGATGTGGCATTCACTCTCAGTACATTGGTGCCGCAGCCGTTCAGAGCATTTCCTTGTTATGGTAAACCTTAGTTTTGGTTTAGCCCTCTCACTCGTTTGAATTTCATTACGCCAAAACAAGTACTGGAGGTTGTCTTTTCTTTCATGTTACAAAGCTACGATTGGTTTTTCGATTGAAAAACCTCAGTTCTCCTACTTTGCCCAGCCACCTAACTTGAATAATTAGCAAGTAGACTAGTCTAACATTCTTAATTGCTGTTTGAAATGTGTTTTACTTTTTTAGACTTCTGAAACAATTTCTGAAAGACACATAATTCGAAAGACACAATGTATCATATCTTCGTTTTTGGCTGTTTCCCCGGACGGACGTAAAGATCACCTGTACCCGAATTTGGATACGCATATATTTGAAGATATATTCACATTCTGTTCATAGCGCGCTGTCTACCTTGTTAAGTCGGACAATCTTCGTTACTTTAGTCATTGGACAAGCGAGATTCTAAGCCACACAAAACTACCCTGTGGCCAACAGTCACTGCCTCAAAAGACGAATTTTGCCGCAAAATGTAGGAGAACTCAGTCATATTTCGGTCACATCTTCCATCCCCTACGTCAAACGCATTTTCGTGCACTCACCTTTACGCCAAATTACTCTCGTCACCGGAAAGCCAGAGTAGGGGCAGTGCAGCATCGCCCTCCTTCCCGCAACAACTGTGCGGTTGTGCATTGTGTGCACCGCCGGTGGACCGAGCACGTTCAGGCGACCGGAGTGTGCGTCCGAGCCGTGTTCGTTGGACGCTTCGCAGCGGTAGGCACCGCCATCTTCGGGCCTAACCCTTGTGATATTTACGAAGCTGATCACGGACCCATCTCGGCTCACGTAGTCACCGACACGGACCTGCGAGGCGCCGCCAACGCAAAAGCCACAAAGCGTTCTTCTCACGTCGGGCCTTCACGTGTATTTATACACTGGAGAGAAAGGACCGGCGATCTCAGGGGCGTTGCTTTTTACGTATCGGCTTATATTGGTGTTATTTTGTTGTCACTTTACGTGTACTTTAGCCAGCGTACTACTTGAGGAGTACACACATACCGTAGCTTGTGTGTCATGTGATTTCCCTGCTTCTCGACCTAATAGTCGTGTTTCTTGATTTGCGCACACCAAATCCATGAGAATTTACCCATTAGAACTTTATACCCAAGTTCGCTTATGAAGTTAGAGAGATAAAAGATATAAGGACTGCAAAGCTTTCTCAGAACTTAACCTAATCAGAGGGTTTAGGCTGTTGTGTAGAAGCTATGACGAATCACGGCTCCTTCTGAATTTATCGCATCGCGCCGATCAGAAATCTTGTTCTTTCAGGTCTATGTATTTTGCGTGTTTTCTACCGTTCCTCGCTTTGCGAGATTCTCTGAAGAGACGCAAGATGTGTTATTACAGTAACTTAATTTTACCAATGTTAAAGTGCAATACCTGCCACTTGAACACACTCTTACTATCAAAAAACTTTTCTTATCAGGTCAAAGCACTATCGATAAAAAGGCAAGTATTTGAATCTGGTGGCAAATTCCTATTGAATCTGAAATTCCTTGATATCATACATATAGGCTGACCTTCAACCTACAGAAATATTGCTTCTACGATCCTACACGCGTCTCGCTCACAATTAGCATAATAGTTCATAGAAACTCCGCAACAGCTCCTTCATAAATTTTCGTGAGAGTAAAGCATGAAAATTACGCAACATAAAGTATTGAATGGCTTGATAATCAAGGTAGAATAATGGAAATCCTGGAAGGCTGTGGCGTCTGCTGCCTTTGAACATCCAAGCGATTTCTCCTTTGAGTGCTGTATCCAACTTCAGTAATGACAGCTAACCAACTATTCGACACTCCTAACCCTTACTTCACTTGTGCAAGCTTGATAGTCTGAGTTGATTCCTTTCTTTATAATGGACTGGCTCTTTGCGTTCATTCCGTAAACACAGAACACATAGCAACTTATCGATATTAAGCAAATGCAATAGTACCTGCAATGCTTAGTGCTATAATTTTGTTGCAAAAAAATAAGCATGGCTTGAGTTCAAAGTTCCTTCTTTCACTGTCTTAAGCTGCTCACCTATAACACTCAAAATAGACCTTGCGCCATGTACCAAGGTCCGCGGACGTCAGCGCTGTAGGCTGACGCCCGCAAACATATTAGCGTCAGTGGTCGATGATCTTAAAGTCAGTGCATGCAGCAGCGTCGCAGTGACGCATATCATTTGGCAGCCGGCATAATGCGACGAATGGAGACGCACCATCTAAAAAGAGAATGTCGCATAGGGAGCAAGCGCGACCGCCAACAATCTGATTGTGAGGAATACAAGACGCCACCCTAGGGATATGTCGGAAAGGAAACCAAAATTCCCTTAGTTAGCCACCTTGCATCAGATAGAAGTTGCTTTCCCTCATGGACTAAAAGTAGGTGTCAGGGCTAAGCAATGGGACTGAGCAGAGAAGGACGAGAGGAGGGTAGGATGAATGAGAGGGAAAAAAATAAATCGGTGAAAAGGTGGCTGAGGGCCCTTGCTAAGCTGCCTCTTTCGGAGAGCACCTTTTACCTGCATCTGTCCTTCATCGAACGTATTGGTGAGTAATCAACATTGCTATTATTATTAGTAGTAGTAGTAGAAGTAGTTGTAGTGGTGATGGTAGTAGTAGTAATAGTACTACTAGTACTACTACTACTACTACTAGTAGTAGTAGTAGTAGAAATATTAGTATTACTATTAGCAGGCACATCTGAGTGGTATCGAGAAGAAATAATAAAAGATGCACCTAATTGACCAAATACGGTACGTTTTTTTTTTCTTATTTATAAGTTCTTTTTCCGACGTAGCGTGTCACGATGAGATATGAGATCCTTTCTTAAAACGGGCTACGGGATTATTGCATTGTCATGGTGCCAGACTGTTAGGGCTCATTCCCCTGGGACGTTTGGTTTCTGGAGGGATAGTGTTGCACGAAGAAAAATTCCCCAACCTCAACGAAGAGAACTGTGAGGAAATTCGAAGGCCTTTCTTGTGTCGAGATAGAGGACAGCGGGGAGACGCTCGGAGCAGTAGGACGCACTGTACATCGTCTCCCGAGCCTTTCGGCATTTTCGCTGCGACGCGTGCTTTCTGACCAATAATTTATGTATGAGTGGGTGCATGAGGTTATTGGGAACGCGCGGATATCACTCTCTGCACTGGATTTATCAAGATTCTCCCAGGAGCATCTGCTGACCCGACCAACGCCGCTCGCCGCCCTGAGCCTAGCTGGCTCAGCGCGCGTCCGGCTCCTTGCCTAAGCCTGGTGCAGCGTCTCACGCTACTCACATCGTCGTGCCCAGCCGCCCACCGGAATGGAGTGCGTCGTAGAAGGTCATACCATCTCTGAAGAGGAGTGGTCCGACGATTCCTGGCAATCGCCCGGCTATCGTGCCCAGGAACGACGCCGACGGGAACTTCAAAACCAAGGCAAGCCCGTTCTTCAACCGTGTACGTCGGAGAATGCCCGCGCCGCTGTGCCGGAACGCCAACCCCAGGTCAAGTCACGTCCGCCTCGGTTACGTCGGCGGGCACCACTCCCCCGATTGCCGCAAGACTCCATTCATATAGTAGGACGTCCAAGAACGCCCATCGACTTGACGAAAGTGCCGCCGTGGCAATTGCACGACGCCCTGCTCAAGGCAGCTTCACTGCCAGATCAGCCACCAGCAAGTCGGGATCGCCTTCGGACGCACCCCACCAATAATACCTTTACCTTGAGCGTGATCGACTCGCAACGCGCCCAAGCCTACCTTCGAGTGAAGTCGATTACCATCGGCGCTGCTACTATCGAGCTCCATGTCTACGCCCCCCCTCCAGACGACGCCATACGAGGCATCATGTTCCATGCATACGATGACTTCTCAGACGAAGAGATTTTGGCAGACCTACAAGCCAGCAACCCCACCATTCCTATCGTGAGTGGAAGACGCTTGGGCCAAACTAGGCACGTCGTGGTTGCACTAATGACGCCAAACCTTCCAAAGTGGATATTCTACCACGGAACCGACATCAGGCTGTACCCGTTCTACAACAGGGTGGAATCGTGTTTTAACTGCCGCAAGGTTGGTCACCGCACGGATGTTTGCCCGATGCCACGTAAGCAGCGGTGCCGCCGTTGCGGAGAGGAACACCCCACACCAGGACAGGGCGAAACACCCGCATGCACGCCACGCTGCATCGTCTGCAATGGTGCACACAACACCGGCAGCTCAAACTGCAAGTATCGCTTTATCAAGAAGGCGCCACCCACCCCGCAATCGAAGCAAGAAGCGCAAGAACCTTCGTCGAACATCCATCGCAACCCATCTCACAGTGGCTCCTCCAGCAGACGCTCACCATCATCTCGAGACCATTCTGCATCTTTCCCACCACTCGGGAACAGCAGCAACCAGCAGCAGCGCCGAGAGAGCAGGTCCCCATCCCACACCCGGCGCTCAGGGTCTCGTTCAGCTAAACGACGTGGCAGCAGGTGTCGATCCCACAGCAGGCGCCCGAGGTCACGCTCAGCCCAACGACGAGACAGCAGGCCCTCATCTCACTCAAGGTCCAAATCAGCCAGGCGCAGCTCATCGGTGTCTCGTTCATCCAGTCGAGGTCCCGGAGAAGCGTCCAAGTCGGTGGCCTGGCAGCGGGGCGCCCCGGCATCACTACTATTTTCCGATTCACAGGTGAGGGAGTTGGCAAAGGAGAATTCTGCCCTTAAGGCTCAAATCTCGGCCCAGCAGTCCCAGATAGCTAAATTGACTAGCTACATCCAGTCTCTAGAAGCCAAAATAGATAGAGCACTCAGTATCGACAAACAAACTACACCCACATCATCCGAAACACAAGACGCACATCCGAACCCCCTGGCACCAAACCCGGCGTTATCGCCAGTTCCTCAACTTCAGAACGCTAATAAACGCAAGGCAGCTACACCCACAGCTTCACTCCACGCAGACGCCGACATCACTACAAAAGTAACGACGGCAGTCACGGCAGCCATCTCAACGCTGAAATCCGATCTGAACGCTGAAATAGAAACGCGCTTTAATGCGATCCACCAAACCATCCGGGAAACAACCACCTCATTCGCCGTGTTAAAGAGCTCGACCGAAGCTGCACTGGCCGACTTCAGTGTGCAGTTGGCCATCCACCGCACACCATCCAATAGCCGGCAAACACCGGCCCCTACGCCAATAACATAGTCATGGCGGCTCTCCACACGCTCACCGTCTGGCAGTGGAACTGCAGGAGCTTCCGCAATAAGAAGGGCCATCTGCAGCAACATATCCAGCATATTCAAAACCATGCACCAAATGGGGAATGTTCGCCGGACATCATAGTTTTACAAGAAACGAACACTGCCGCTCAACTGCCCGGATACGCATCATATAATCAGAAAATAGACATATCCGCGAGCGCACAATGCCACACTGCCATCTTAGTACACAAGAATGTCACAGCCATTCAACATGAAATTGAGGGTACGAGTATTCATCACACACTGGTGGAAATTATACCAAAAAGACGAGGAGACAAGCCACTCTTCATTTTAAATATATACAGCCCTCCAAGAGATACAGCTGCGGATCTACCTTACATCTTTCGGAAAGCAACAAATCTGGCGAAGGATGCAAAGCTGCTCGTACTAGGCGATTTTAACGCAAAACATCCCGAATGGGGATACCCGAAATCCAACCCCAAGGGTCGCCGATTATGGAGCATCATACACGACCTAGGTTTCAGTATCCTCAATGATCCGGAGCAATCGACGCGAATCGGGAACAGCGTATGTCGAGATACTACCCCAGACCTCTCCCTTTGCAAAAACACGGAGGGT